ACTCTGGCTGCGTTTCCTCGCTGAATCGCCATACCTTTGAGCGAAAAAAAATTCAACCTTCTTATTACCAGCGGCCCTTGCCTCTGCTGGAACGTTTTTCTGGAGTAGCTTACCATATAATAAATCATAATCTACGAGAACGAAAGCTCTGGAGAGATCTAAAAACATGCATGTAAACATAGACGGCGCTTTTTGTAATTTAAAAGTGGATTTTAGGGATATGATAGCATTCTCAATAGACAATTTAGACCGAAATCCAGACTGTGCATCGTGCAACTCAAAATAGCACTCGTAAAACTCGTATTCGAAGGAGCCAAAAAGCTTTTAAGTCCTGGATAACTCCTGGTGCTCTACGCTGTATTAAAAATAGAAACAAAGTGCAAAAATATACGTACCAACCCGCACGATAAAGTCCTTAAAATCACGGTTGTCCATACAAGTCACGGATTCAGTTCCTTAAGTTTCCTATATATACTTTAATTTGATGCAACCAATGATGCTGTATGAATTTGTTACAAACATACTAAAAAGTTCCATTCCACAAAACATGAAACATCTAAAATTTGACATTCAATTTTTATCGAAACAGTACTCCTACAACTAACTGAGCAGAGAAACACCGCAAACCCGAAAACCTACATCCGTCGGATTTTGCAAAAATAAACAAACAGAAACGAGAGGAACCGAGCTAAATCGATATCCAACCGTTGAACGGATCGCCCGTCAAACTTTTGCAATACAGTCGACAGACCGTCTCTATGCAGCCCCTAACTACCATAGTCCAAGCCAGAGCTTCGAAAACTGTGCACTGCAGCACTCAAATTGACCGCCTAATAAATTTCAATGTGACGAAAGTTTGACAACAACCAACGAACACGTTGATTAAAATTTACCAACAGGAATAATTTACATTCCAAACAAAATTCTAGTTCTATAAAATACTGTTAATGAAAAAGGGTCTCTTTTATACGATGCTAATTTTTAAGTATCTATAGATTTAAGATGTACTCTTCATATGTAATTCTGCCCATTCCTAAGTCTAAAGCAGCGTACAGATATCGAAATAAGTTTAAGAAGCCTCGTAAGAAACCACCCGCAGTACGGTGAACCTCCGAAACTAAATATGGCGTAATACACGGATCTAACAATAGAAATTATAAATAACATTCAAACTCAAAAAGCGTTAATATCTGAAAAGAAACATTTTTTTCCTAAATAACTAGGTTAGTAATACGGTTGCAACAAAGGCCCGGTTGAACAATACAACCTCTCTGACACGGTATTACACGGTGGATGTAATTAGTTATGGTGTACGGATTTAGATTTTCTTGTTGCGATAATTTTTGTGAATACGCTGAATAAACATCTGCTCGAGATTTTGCGATTTGACAAGCCGGTGACGTATTGAGATGTCATGTAGAAAACTGATATGTTTGGTTCACAATGATGCCCAAAAAATGGTCAGTTGTGGATGCATTACCTTTATTTTTTTACAACCGATGCGTGAATATCATGAACGCGTAATATCGAGTGATAATTATTATTAAAATTATTTAATAAACACGAATTTCAATCGTCATATAAAAGTTATTCATAGAATAAAATACAACCTTAACAAATTAAAATTACAGTTTCATTAATAAAATATTTCAATTATTTGACTTTTATATCTAGTCAGGTAATAATTTATTTAATAGATAATTTACCTAAATTATGTGACGATTGAAGTATCGGCCCTTAATTTCATTATTTTCTAACTGAATGAATGAAGCTGAAAATTGCGCTACGAGGCGCGCCTTGAGATAGTCCTATGTCCAGCTTTTTATAGAAAGATGGTTGTCAAGCTAGCACACAGTCGTGGATGCTATGGACCATAGAAACCAATATAAATTAAAAATGGAGGTGAGTTGTCGTCCCAGCCGAGTGCCTGTGAAGGTCGAAATTCTGATCAACGGTATACCAAGATAATATTTTTAAACTTTAACTGGATGAACCTTTTTGATTACGTCTCTACAACCTAACCTATATTTGCAACCGTCCGTGTAATTTATTTTTAGTAAAATAAATAAATATTATAAAAAAACATTATATTACCATCAGGTGGATTGTGTGCTCGTTTGTCACCCTTATTCTATTAAAAAAATCTGAAAAACGGTTGCCCAAGTAAGCCATCCCTGAAACTTCCCGCTATGTTCGATCTCAAAACGCTTAACAATTTTTTTACGAACTTATAACGAACACTTAACTCATTACATCAAAAAAGATCCGAGTAGAAATTTTAAAGTTATTTAACTTCCTAGGGCCTCAAAACATCGAATTTTTTTTAAATATAATAAGGGTGACAAACGTGCACGCAGTCCACTTGATGGTGAGTGGATTCTGTGGTACATAGACATCTACATTTAACCTCGATTAAGCCTCGAGCAGAGTCCTAAGATGGAATGCCGCGATTCCAGTAAGTCAGGTCTCCGGTTCTCTACACTCACAATACGAAACACAGCAGCATTAAGCTGCTATTTTACGCTCCTATTCTGTGAGAGCGTGGTCCTTCCCCGGTCGAGCTGACCCATTCGTGCTACAATCAAAATATTATAGCTACAGCGTGGCTCTGCCACGTATAAAATTTTGAAACCTCGGTTTTCGAAAACTGGAGTGAAACCAATAACCTCCCGATTTTTCTAAAATCGTTGATTTTCGTAGCGGGAAGTTAAAAAACTGTAGTAAAGATTTTTAAGCTGCCGCCCGCAAGCTATAATGACGCTATCCAACAAAACCATATTTCAAAGTTAAGGACAAAAAAGCGCGGAAAAATGAAAAATGGATGCCGTTTCACAACTATAACTTATATGCGAGAGTTATCGATATCAAATAGTAGATTTAGTTTTGCGCTTTCAAAATCCATACTTTTAATTGTTTAATAATGATTTAACCTTAACAAAAATAGGTTTTTGCGTTTTAGTTTAGTGTTTTTACAATTTACAACTTATGCAACTACGAGTATAATGCCGCTAAGCCTACCGTAACGGCACATTAGTGTTTGATTTTCATTTAATTTTATTGACATTAAAAAGTCTTAAGGAAATCTCTTCATTACTAAACTATTATGCCACTAAATACTTTAACGTTGTAATAGCTTAGCTTTATGACTCCGAGAACAAACACTATGCAAAACCATGTAGCCGCACTTAAGACTAGTGACTTATAGGAATATTTTTTCTGCATTTATTTTTTAGGTTGATTACATGCCTTATTAAATAGCGCTAAATACAAAACATTAAAATGTAACGGCGTTTTAGTTTTGAAATGACCACACGATAGTTGAGGAAATTAAATAAAGTGGTAGTAACCTACAGAAATAAAAGAGCGTATTATAAAATATAAATCAATTATTTAATGACACGTCTTCTTTAATTTTAACAAAATCACTTTGCGATGACTTACTTACAATAATTGAAAATGAGATCTTAACAAATAACTAAAAAAAACATAAAAACAATCTTCACCTTATATATAATGTTATCTTATGAAACTACTAAAAATACACATTATTAATTCACATTAGTATCATTTCAGTTACATAAATGGTAAAAGGCCGTCATGATGCCCTCTTGTTTTCTCCCTGCAATTCATTATGCCATGTGACTGTTCATGGCTTTGAAGAGGAACTGATTTTGCCGAGTAGAGCAAATGTCTGATTGAATGTCGTAAGGCATTGGCAAAAAATTACAGCTTTGAAGGTATCTAATCCGGGCAACATAATTACTCTTTCTAGATCTGCGCTGTAATATATTTGGGAATCATTTTGTGGTAAGTTTTTGTGTTCATTGTAAAGCCCTTGCTTTTTTATATTTTTGATGATGCTGGGCCCACTCCACACATACAGTACAGTCTAAGACAATCTGGTTACCGGCATCATGTGATGTTTCTTTTTTATGCAAAGTATAGGCTTCACACATTTCGCGCTTTTCATTACCCAAACGAGTATAAGAAATATTTTTTTTACGTGTTGCCTTGTAGTAAATACGAAATGATCTTATCTGGATATTTCCTATAGAAATGCCTATGCGTGTTAGTTATACTAATATCACTTGACAAGTATCGTCGCAGTGAGTATGTTCACGCCTGTACTGGGGTTCTGATGGGTGAAACGATTCAACGTACTGAGTCAACAAATTACGATCATAAGCAAGTGTTTCCTGGTGCTTTCCTCTTTTATCATTAAATTGGGGATCTATAAAAGAGCTATGCAAGATCCTGTCGTTTGTTTTAACATAACCTAAGGTAGTCAAAATAAAGGTTTTGTATACCTCAACTCTGGTTTCGTCTAGTTGTTTAAATGTAAGTGCCCTTCTTGGTTTCCTCTTCGGGTCACTGGTCGTTTTTCTCTTTGGAACTGTTACTTAAGTGCGTGCATTCACGAATAAATGCTTTTCTCGCCAGGACAAGTCCCAATACATTTTATTGATTGCTTCTCACCGGTCTTGACTAAATATAGAAGTAGGTACATTTTTAGGCAGGTTTCGTTACACCCCGTTTTGACATTATGTTCTACTATTTTTTATTTTTGGCATCTATTTTTCGCTGAAATAAAGGAGTGTTATGTTTTTTACGTTTTTGTTTTGGTTGTGACGTTTCAGGTTCCAAAGTGACTGCAACAGATTCATTGACTTGATACAATGTTTGATACGCACCAACATCAATAGTGTTCCTACGATTGCGTGGAAGTAGCGATGCCGCAATATATTTATCAGCACAAGGAAAATTTATTGAACTTCTGGGTTTATTTTGCAACTTTTTTCTTTCATTAATAAACGGAACAGTGTCAAGAATGTCTGAAGTTAAGCTTTTCGTGACCACAGCTGGTATAAATATGGATTTTGTACCCTTTTTTTAGAACTTTCGTTTGCTGTGTTACAACTTGGGACTTTCGGCTTCTTGGTTTAACTGATTCAAAATCGTTACTTGAATCAGTACTTGAATCGGATGGGAGATAGTCTTTATCACGCACAGTCATCGGAATCAAAACCACATTGCAACGCGTACGTTGATGAACTTATATCATTTTGTTCAGTTACGTTAAATGAGAGTTCTTCTAACGGCATCACTTCGTTGCAGGTTAAATCGATTTGCACCTGATCAGAATTTGGTAAAGCATCATGGCTCTGAGCAGAACAAGTTTTAAAATCTTTATTCAAATTATTCAGGATCGGTGAATGCATGCGCATGTGAATTATAAGTAATTTGCGTATCACTAAACTTTTCAAAAACATTGGATGTTATCGAATAAGGCCTATTATAGTATAATGTATCAAAATGCAGCAGCTTACGGTAAGGACTTTTACTTATTCCTTCTGCTAAAGTTCTCAATGTCAATTTTGGTGCCTGTACTATCTTTCTTCTTAATCATGTCTAAAATGTTTTTGGATCTTTGTGAAATAGCAGTGCGCCTGTTACAATTAAAATGTAAGTAGGTTTACGTTATCTTCTACATTGGTCTCTACAGTATCTTCAATACATAGTATTTATAAATCAAAATAATTGGTTAATAAGGTCGACGAAATGTAACCATTTTATCTTTTTATTTTAAAAGAAAATATTTGATTATTTGCGAAGCTATTTTGAACAATATGGTATTGATACTTATCCAGTAAAATGTGCTAGTTACCGAAAGCATTTATATAGATTTATAGTGTAATTTACTTCATATTATTTAAATTAATACTTTTAATACATCACAGTGACGAGACCGAAACTTTTTGGACCGACATAAAATTAATATTTATCCAATCTGTATTGTTTACTAAGCCGACAAAAATAATAATCGTAATTAAATAATGTTTTACCTTGAGTAATTGTCAGCCATTGTAACAATGGCGGGAATGCGGTGCGTGACACGTCCTTCCCGTTAAACTTTAGTGAATCCGCAAATTTGATGAAGCATCAATCAAGAGAGAGTCTCGGGAGGCCGCGGATCGAATGCGAACGATTCACTACTATTAGTACATAACGCATTTATGTGATCGACGTGATAAGCAAAATATTTATATTTCATATTGATAATGCCGTTATTGGCGTATTTACTACAAAATGTATTAATAAAAACACATCTATATACTACGCATAAACGCCGCTAAGTGATATTAGCGACATTTTTGTCTAGTATTTTCATTTAACGGCTTTTTAGCATTTGATTTAGAACACTGTAATTTGAAAACAAAGTAAAACTATGAAACCGTTAAAGTACTTTAACCTCATAATAGAGTAGGAAATTCTATTAACGGCAATTTAGTTATACAAATGATGGAAAACACTTTGGGAAAAAGGTAAATTTTCAGCCCTTAGTCACTTTTTAGTTTAATAATGTTGCTTACCTGCGTTTTAGCGTAGTAAACATATCAAAAAAGGCAACTTAACGGTGTTTTTATTTTTCTATCTTGGGATCCATAAATAATAGAAAAATACTCCTTAGACAGAAAGATAGAGATTCTTTTCTGATTATGGTGATATCAAAAAACGAAAATCGACCAGATGCGAGATAACGGCATTATTGCTTACGGACGGCAGTAAGCATCTATGAACAAGCTGAACGATTTTAAGATTCCTTTGACCTGATTTTGTTCCCAATATTTGCTCGGTCTAAGCTGTATGTTTAGAAACGTCTAACCATGGAAGTGAGAGAAAAAAGAAAACAAAGAAGTGTAAATGATCGTGTTCCGGCACGCGCCCGTCTGTCCCGACCTGACCTTCGTCAAACTGATACATCTGACAGATTAACGCATATCACTGTTATGCAACACGCTGTATGTCCAGTCAAGCGGACATTTATTAAAAATTTTCAAAAGATGCGACGTGCGAGCATTTACTAAATAATAGACGGATGCACGGTTTATTAGCATTTTAGGTGAATTTTATATTATATACACACACATTGCAACATTTTTTGCATTTAAGCAAAATTTAGTTTTATTAAAAGAAAATTTTGATTATTCAACTATGAGAAACGAACTTTAGAGAGTCACTTACTTATTTATTTGCGTCGCGTTAAAGCGATACCTACAAAAACTTTCACGAGCTTCTCCGATAAGCGACGATCGTTTCTGGCGAACGAATCCTTTTTTTTTCAATATACGCGGGCTTCGTTATCGCCTCTATAAAGTCGCGGTCTCACGTACGAAATTCTCAATGATTTTTGATTTCTTTTTTTGCAAACCGCTGCCAGTTCTACTAAAATCTGCGTACGATATTAATTTTGCACTCACCACATTTGCACATAGTTTGCACGTGTGTTTTAAAATACAGAACATTGTAATCGATAGACTGGACTGGACTTAGACGATCCTTCTCAATTGGTGGGAAGATTCCCCGTTGACGATCGCTTACTACATTTCAACAAACAGATATTTTTCTTCTCGTCGCGCTTTTAAGGCTAGAATTACTTTAAATGTCATATGAAACAGTTAAGCGGCACGGGAATATTCAGAAGCAGTTTTTTTTAGTAATGGAGATGCTAAGAATCTTTTGGTCTAGTATTTATGTATTAAAACCCGTCTCAATAACTTCTGGTTCGAACAAGTGCTGACTCTTTTATTGCAAAGAAAGGTGAAAATATACTGTACAATGATAAAAAATAAAAATTTTTATTTTCAACCTCAGACCAACAAAAAAAGAAAGATGAAGCGCTGCTTACATTTCAAACGATTCAAAAACTAAGCCAAAACCATGCTCAACATAATATTGTAAGAACACGCCCACGTATTTGCAACCAAAAATATCGTTTTAGGGTCGTCCCACACGTACCACAACCACACCACATCGCAGCGATAAAATGTCGTCACGTGCGAATAGTGTCGCTAGTAACGGCTACTAGTTCTATGGTGTTCCGTAGTGGTTGCGTTGTGGTCGGTATCACTCACACAGTCGATAATGACTACAAAATGTGATACGTGTAAATTGTATTCATTCATTTCCAATACAAACTGCGCCCGTCCACGTATTGTGGTTATGGTTGTGGTGTGATTATGTTTGTGGTACGTATGGGATACCCCTTATGTGCATATGTGTGCAACCAGCAGTGAAATTTTACGGGACATAAAAAAGAATAAAGAAAAATGCGTGCATGAGTGCGTGACAAGAGGTTTGTTTAGCACTACTTGAAATCCTCCGTTTATCTTTCTTTGGTTAAACTGAGTTTGCAGAATGCCGCAATTTAACGCATGCAGTTTCTGCCCAAAGGAAATCTATTTATTCCTCAATTGTATTATAAAATCAATAAACATTAAACTTTTCAATCTAACGTGAAACTAGAGCCATGCTGCAGAGTATAATGCTGCAGCATAAATTGATCGGCTCAACAAGGGAAAGACCACGCTCTCACAGGATACATACATAACATAATGCTGCTATATTTCGTATGGTAGGTAGATGGATACCTTTTTACTTGGAAGGGGGCGTTCATAAAAACGGTGTTTTTTTTTAATTTTCTGTCCCTCCATCCCCCCCTGGTGAAATTTCGTAAGATTTTATTCAACCCCCCTCTCCCATCCCCCAATCTCACGTGAGATTTTTAAAAATATGGGTTTCTTACGTAAACGCGTTGGATTGTTATTGTAAAAAGAAAAATAAACATTAAACGTCCTATGACTCAAAAAGTATAGACATTAGAAAAAAAAGTTTCAAACAAAAGTTTTAGAAAATAAACTGATCTTTAAAAATAGATTTATACATTTTATTGATTAATCTAATATTTCAAGAGTTATTGGGCGCGATAGAAAATCGGTTCATTTTAAGTGGGCCATAAATCGTAAACGATAAGTTTTAGAAAAAAGTTTACTGGAACCAAAATATGCGAAATTTTATTTTTGATCCATATCATCGAATTAACATAAAGAGACTTGTAAGCTCTTTGTCACCCTTACTTCTGTAAAAATATCTTCTCGGTATACTTTTGTCTTGTGGCATTTCGTGGGCATCGTAAAAGACACTCATGACCCGTAACAGGGAGCAATGTGAAAGGTGTGACACGACCTATCAAACGTAATATAACCACCGCAAATCTTCTTGACTATAGGAAGGTCCGGCAGTGGAATGATACGGTCTAATAAACCCGAAGAAAACGGTGTGAAAATAATGTTACAAAATTAAAGGTAACGTTCAAAGCATTCACGACCAATCTCTAATAAGTAATAACCAAGCGGTTATTTTTTTATAGGATATGGTGATAAACGAGCACACAGTTCACCTGATGGTAAGTGGTTGCTGTGGTCCATAGGTATCTACATCCATCCTCGTTTACGAATAAAAATGCAGATGCGATGTCACCCATGAGGACCAAGATGGAATGCCTCGTATCCAGTAAAAAGGGTCGCCGGTTCTCTACACTCCCCATACGAAACACATCAGTATTAAGCTGCTATTTTACGCAGTTATTCTGTGAGAGCGTGGTCCTTCCCCGTTCGAGCCGATCCATTAGTACTACAACCATAATATAGCTGCAGCGTGGCTCTACAACGTAAAAACTATAATATATTAAATATAAATTATTTGGCAACAGTGTATCAACAGCGTACTTTAAATCTACCTCGTAGGACTCATAAAACGGTGTGGGCGGAGCGCGGTCGCTCCGCGGGCGCCCACTCCACTAATCGCTACCACCTCAGTGTGCTAGGCTAGCCTGAAGTTTAGCTTATTATTTGTTTAATAGCATTATAACGTTAAACTAATATGATTTCAAATATTATTTTAACGTCCAACGCCGTGGACGGGCCTCTCAATTTGAAGCAGTTCTGTGCTTTGTCCAAGTGTGTGTTGACAGACGCAGACTTCACACAATGTTTTTATTTATCTGATATGCAGGTCTCCTAACAATGTTTGCGTTCTCCGCCTAGCCACGTGGCAAGTCAGAATTAACAGTTTCAGTGGTGTTAGCGGAGATCGGTCTTGGTGTGATCGTGTACTATTAAACTTTTAAGGAAAGTAATTATCCCGTGACCTACGAAAACTCTTAATATACTTTAATTAAAATTTATTTTTTTAAATAATAATAATAATGAGTAGCTATCTAAATATCCATATGTGTAACAAAAAAGAGTGGGCTCACTAGCTGGCGTAAGTAAGAACTTAGACACGCAGGATATCAATAGATGAAGGTGTAGTTTAGGATCTTGGTTTGTGCCAATGCTCGACAGAGGCACTTGGCTGTATTGAGCAGTGGATCCATGAG